ATTACGCATTAGAAAGTACGGAAATGTACATACTTTTGAATACGTAATTTTTCGAAAATAAAAATCCAGCAAACTCGAATAAGGGGATTTAGTACGGACACGCACCACAAATTGCGCAGAAATCTGGATTTTGCTATGTAATTTGGATCCACTTCTTCAGAGGGCGTTAGTGCACGAATGCATTTTAGTGTTACAGCCAAAAGGCCGTCATGTCCTCTCTCGAGTCTCGGATTCTCTCTGGTGTCAGTGAGCGAACGTAACTGAAGTGAAGTGGCGGTTTCGATATAGACCTCGAACCTCGAACCGCTACGTGCCGCGCGAGTGGAGGTTCCCCTCCGCCTGTGTTCCGTTCGGTGTTCTGTTCCTGCTTCGGATCGGCCGTTGATCGAGACAAAGGTGCGACTTCCTCGCGTTTCCTCAGCGCGCTCGCTCGTCGTCACGATCCGTTGTCGTCGTCATCGTTGTCGTCGTCGTCGTCGTTGCATACGTTCATTCAGCTCGTGTCAACTGTCACGAGTTCACGATGCTCGGTTCGATGCCATTTTTCTTAGATAAAACGCGTTTGCAGGCAACGGCAACTCGGAAATATCGAGGATCGTATCCCCGGAGAGGATCCCCCTCGCCCTTCGATGTTCCCTTCGATCCTTGAGAGCGCGCTCGACGAGGCTTTTTTGGTTATATTGTTTTTTTTGGTTATGTCGATTCAGAATGAATTAGCGCAATACGATAGTTGTTAACATGCCACGTTCACAGTCACTTCGGCCGATTAACTCCGATTAATTTAATCGGTAGAATTTAAATTCGCCTCAAACAGAATTTTTAACTGCTTAACCTGCAATCTAATCCTTTTCCATATGTTGAATGACAAATTAATAATCCTGCGTTAACAAGAGAATGACAAATGTTATTTGATAAGTTAATTGTCAATTAAGTTATTAGAGTTTGGCCAAAGTCGAGATTTTTCTAATCTCGTGCTCGCACACAATTAAGAGGAATATGTACTTCGATGTACCTCTCTTGTCTCAACGCTACTTTTCTTTCAATTTTTTTTTATCTTCTATTTGCCAATTATAAACTAGTAGCGATACACTTGATATACATATGTATGCACATGTATATGGCACGGTGGAATATCATATTTTTGGATGTCTTCCTTGCAGGAATATTTTTCCACTGAGTACTGATGGCTGTCAAGGGACTAGTCTCGTTGATTGTCAAATTTCTGACAGACCAGTTGCAAGATGGTGATATAACTGCCGACTCGCGAGAGAGTTTGGAAGTGGCGATACAGTGCTTGGAAAGTGCTTATAACGTACAGGCATCAGACGCCCCGGCAAATGTAAATCTGTATCAAATTTATAAGAATGCGGTGGAGAATGCCGCGCCAGTCCTGGGTCCGGAAGCTACGCCGGAGGCAAAGGCCGAAGCGGAAAGATTGAAGAACGAAGGCAACGCTCTCATGAAGCAAGAGAAACACCACGAAGCGCTTGCTAATTACACAAAGTACTTGCATAGTTTCTCTCTTATTAATTAAGCGTAAATATTTGCTCTCTCCTCTAACTTGAGCTCGTCCGTTTTGCTTGCAGGGCAATAACATTAGACGGTCGCAATGCAGTGTATTATTGTAATAGAGCCGCCGTTCATAGCAAACTCGGTAACCACACCTTAGCCATTAAAGACTGTAACACGGCGCTTTCTATCGATCCATCGTACAGCAAGGCATACGGTCGATTAGGTCTAGCATATTCAAGTTTGGACAGGCATAAAGAGGCTAAGGAGAGTTACGAGAAGGCCTTAGCGATGGAACCGGATAACGAGAGTTATCGGAATAATTTGCAATTGGCGGAGGAGAAATTGGCTCAATTAGGTGTCAATCAGTCTCTACCTAATTTGCCCGGCATGGATCTGAGCACTCTTCTGAGCAATCCCTCTTTAATGAACATGGCGCGTCAGATGTTATCCGACCCGGCTATGCAAAATATGATGTGTAATCTCATGTCTGGAAACGTAGAGGAAGGTGGTCGCATGGAATTACTCATAGAGGCGTAAGTTTTGTTGAACAGAATCATAAATTTCGGAAATTTAAGTTACACACTGCAAATCCAAGTGTGTAAATCTGTGTGTCACGCATTTGTACGCGTTTTATATTTTTACATATTTTATCTGTGTTTTACACAGTTAAATGCATATTTTTTTACACGTATTACGCTTACACATATTATTGTAAAATTAAGCGTGTAAAAAAATCTGCATTTAACTGTGTAAAACACAGATAAAATGTGTAAAAATATGGCACGCGTATAAATGTGTTAAAAGTGACTACAGTACACACACTTGGATTTGCAGTGCAATAGGTGGAGAAGTTCGTGTATAACTTGCGTAGGTGCAGTTTGCATAATATATCTGCATGTGTGCATAAATGTTTCAGGGGCCAGCAGTTGGCGCAGCAAATGCAGAGCGCAAACCCCGAGTTGATCGAGTCGCTGAGACGGCAAATGGGCGGCAATCCGAACGATCCGGAACCACCGCAACAAAATTAAAAAACGCGGCTGATTGTGTGATAAATGGACATGAATTTTATGGACATCATAGCTGACTTTCTTTCCCACTTGTAGTTACAGATCAGTATCATTGTATCGTTTTCTAAAAGCCGCCATAAGGCGAAGATTTTACAGCTTCAATGATAATTCTGTCGTCACATCTAAAGCGATAATGTATCATTGGCGCGTACCATAGAATTCATTTCATAGATTAGCCATTATGGATGTAACACATCGGGGCCTCTTTCCACTCTCCTCATCTTCTCTTTGGCTATTGTACAATTTTTTATAGCATACATGCTAGATCGATACAACGTGACAAAATGTTTTCTAAATGCCATGATTATTTAAATGACTAATAATAATAATTCAGCGATATCCCGTTTTTCTCCGCATCATCCAGGGCATTATTTCTAGATTCATGCGCTGCATTACGAACGACAAAAGCGGATTTGTATAACGCACTTGTTTACATAAGTCTCGAATGAGAGTAACGAAACGTTCAATAGACGCGAAATATATATATACGGATTCGTGATACCGAGCGAGTCGCAAATCATTGTTTAACATTTTATTCACATCGTGTGTTCCACGCCGGTGTTGTACGAAATTGACATCTCTATCAACGCATTTTATAAACGCATGGTTATTACGTGATTATTGATTGAAATCTTCGATTAAACACAGACGAAAACTTTTGCATATCAGGTTTCACAAATGCGTCTCGCGTTTCTGGAGTATGCGGGTCAGCTTAGCACATTGCATATTGAGAATAAAGTCAACGTGCTAATAATACTAACGAACGAATTAAACGTAATAAAAATTGCATCATGAAGAACATATTCGGATTTCTTTTTTATTGTTTCGCCGTATTTCTTCCATTAGATAATTGGAAAAATTGTTTACGTACTCCGAAATATTGATAGATAAAACCAAAGAAGTAAAAAAAAAATCGAGACAAATAAAAAGCTTCTGACAAACAGACTAATCTCTTTGTGTGTATTCGTGAATATCGAAGAATCCCTCGAACGTACAATCACGCGCATATCTTGTTTTTTTTTTTCTTTCTTTAGGGAAACGATTTTGATGTATAACTGGAAATGAGAAAGAGACGGGGACGTGCGCGCGTGTGATTCGTGCGAATAACGTGTAATGCGCGCTTTCTATCCGCAAGAAGAAAGGAAGCTGCTCGCGGGCGGAGAGCGCGCGGCTTATCGCGGCGTGTATCTCTGGGTAATACGAGGACGAGCGGCGTTCGCCACGCGTTGATAATCAACGGATACGGTTTCTCCGCCGTACCTATACGTACGGGCGGAGATACGCGTATGTAGATTCCATTAACGGCCGCATTCCCCGTATTTCCACCGGGTTCGGCCGGCCGGGCGTGCGAGCGCCCCAGCCAATTCCACCGATTCCACGTGCGTCACGCGATGACATCATTCTTATTTGGCCACTACGCGCGCGCGCGTAGTACGTACACACGCACGCACACGGCTGCGCGTACATTTTTACGGCAGTACGCACGCGCGGACGGCGTGTATATGCTAGTATATATATTGGTTGATTGGCACATGCACACGATACACCTCGAGCGTTATCCGCGATTAGAAGCGAATCGTTCGATCGTTCATATGGGATTTCTTATATCTAGAATCAGCTGACTGTCAAAGTCCGTATACGCGAATAGAGCGCCGTAAAGTGTATGCGTGCCAGTTTATCAGGAGAAAGAATATCGGAGCTCCGCGTACGCGTGAAACAAAGAATATGCCGAATTGCTCGTAATTCCGTTCGTTAATTCGAACCCTTTGCTCTTTCAAACCGTCGTCACCCGAGAAATCCCGTCCCCGCGTCCTTGAACTCCTCCGTAAAAGAAGGGAGAGGGATAGGAAGTATATAGCGCTCGAGACCATTTCATTTCGCGGCCGGCAATTGGGAGGGGAAATTCTTGACGCCGGCATTTATATTTTATCCGGCCGATAAGCCGGTTAATGACACGCTACGTGCACGCACGCACTCGCCGCACGCACGGCGCACGCACCGGCGTGAAATTGGTTCATCAGTAGGAAAAATCTATCTTTTGCACGATCGCAAAAGTGTATAGATATGTGAATTTCCTTTAACTTTGCATACATATATTTAAGGCTCCTGTTCACTCACCACTACTATTTCAGATTCTGACGTCAGAGGCGAGAAAGTACACAATAAAACTTCTTACAAAATATATATTGAAATGGAAATATGCTTCAATAAAAACATTCAATCGATATAATAGAACCGACTTGTAAAATATACCGAAAACTCCTTTTTTTCCATAATTAATAAATAATCATGTATCTAAAAATGTCATAATCAGATAATGAAATAACATCCTGACAACATCCTCTCTCTCTCTCTCTCTCTCTCTCTCTCTCTCTCTCTCTCTTAAATTAATAACATAGAAATAAATATAATTTAATATCTTTCCAATACAAAAAGTAATTTTCAGTATATTTTATAAAGCTGTTCCGACCGCCAATATTTTATTGAGAAATGTTTATATTTGAATATATATATATATTTTGCAAGAATTTTTATTATGTATTTTCTCGCTTCTGACGTCACAATCTGAGATATAATAGTGGTGAGTAAACAGGAGTTTCAATCCTCCGCAATTAATCTAATTATAAACAGAATTTTTCGAATTCTTTTCTCTCTCATAATCGATAAAAAAATTTTTTAAATTTACATTTAATTGTGGCGGTCGCATCGCCACTACTTATTTAGCTGCAAAAAACGAAATTATTCCGCGTCAAGAAAATTCATGAGAAATATGTATGTATTAAACGCTGATGGGTCTGCGGATCCGCTCAGCTGTTCGGCGACAAAAAAAACGAAAATAGACACACATAGAGATAAATACTGCACGAGACAAATAGGTCGGTTAGCGAAAATAATGAGAGCATAACAACGCTTGATACTTCTTAAGTATCTTATCGTTTTATTGCATTGTATCATTATTATAATCTTCTCTTGTCGAGCAAATTATTAACGTATATATATAATACTGCACACGTCGGACTGTGATACGGATAAACGTAACGTCTTAAATAATCATGCATTAATTAATTGTAGGCTGCACATGCAGGGAAAAAAAGAGAAACGTTGCTAGAATTTAAATCTTTTAATGTGTTTGTTGTAAACAATAGAAGGATAACAGGCAGCTCTCCGATAGACAAGTCATGCGATCAACCGCGGAGATGAGATGAATATAGTCAGCTGGTAAATAAACACTGACGTGCACGGACGTGTATTCGTGTATAATATTGTGAAATAAAACTTAGATTACGACCGGACGTAAAGACTCTGCAATTAATTTGCTTTCTCTATACGCATCCGCATACATCCTAATTAATCCATTTGTACTGAACAAATTACAGTACGTTAAACCAAATTATAAATAAATTCGCAACGCGAATGCAGCGCAAAATTATATTTTTATAAATAACTAATTTTAATTTTTACATCAAAATTCTGGGCAGCTATATATATTTTGTCAGTATTTCATCGACTTTACAATTATTTGATTATATCTTTATATTGAACAATCTTAAAACACAAAGAGAAATGCAGATTCTGCAATTAAAATATATTAGTGATATCTCGATATTTTCGTTTCCCTAAAATTCAACGAAATTTCGCGTTGCGCGCGCAACGCGACGACAGTAAACGCGCCGCGTATGCAGAGACACGATGGTGGGACACAATCGCGGCCGTTATTTACATATTTTCCAACCCTTTCCGTCATCCACCTACAAGCGGCGGCCGGCGGCCGGCGGCGGTACGAAGCGTGAAGTGTGCGCAAAGTTTCTTCCACAGGTCCGTGACGTCATGACGTGTGTGGTGCGCGCCAGTGGCGCGTGATTCGCCGGTTTCGGAAGCAGGATCGGGGCGAGACGTCGCGAGCGCGGGCGCCACGCGGCCCCGAGAGCGGCGGCGAATTTCCAAATGGATCTAAGCTATTTCGCCCTTTACGATCAATGAACTGTGGCTCGATTCGCGAGAGTGATCAGTGGAAACATGCGCTACTGAAAACACGCTCTTCTACACCTCTAGATTTTTTTTGTTTTCTCTTTCTCTTCTAGATGTTTTATCTCTTTCAAGTGTAGAAAGTGCACAAAGGTGGCAGATAAGAATAGATGTAACACGTGAAATTGAGTAGTTTTAATATCCGTTCGCGCGAATGTATAGTTTATTTTCATTAGATACGCCTATAAAAATCATTTCTTTAGAAGAGCACACAATTGTGATCGATTAATTAATCGTTAGTTCTATTTAATTTAGTCAAGAATGTCATGCTACGAAGCATGTCTAATAATTTTTTTACATTAATAATAATGAAAAACAATATTAATAACATAAGTATCGATGTCCGGCCTGAGAAATTTGCGAATCGATCTAGTTTCGCGCGAAGGAGCCGGCGAGATGCTTCGGCAGTCGGCACGTGTCGGCACGTCCCTGGAGCGAGCCGAAGTTGCCGCCGCCGCCGCTCGTCCTCACCACCGCGGCCATTCGCCGCACACTCAACAGATCGAGGTGTGGCCATCGAGGGCAGCCATTTTCTTGACTTTCTGTCGCTTAAGATCTCAGGTAAATACGCAAATATATCTTAATTTAACGCCGGCCGGAGTGGTGCGAGGGTGCGTGGTACACCGTGTGTGCGAGCGTCGAGAACCCGTCCGGGCGCGTTGGAGATCCCGCCGGGACGTCGGGCCGGGTACGGTGCTAAAAGAGGGAAAAAAAAGGAGCCTTCTCCGCGAGTCGAGTGAGTGAGGGAGAGAAAGAGAGAGAGAGGGTGGGAGGGAGGGAGAGAGATAGAGCGAGACGGGGATAAGTAGACGAGGAGAGAAAGAGAGAGAGAACGGGTTGCGCGAGGAGGCCTCGAGGGAGTGCCATGCGTCGCGAATCTCGTCCGCTCCGTATCACCGCACGGCGAGGCGCGCTCTGAACACGGACGAAACACGGTGGTGGCTCGGCTAGTCGGCTCGGCTCGGCACAGTTCAGCTCAGCTCAGCTATAGACTTTTCGGCGCTCCCGTCGTACGTACGTACGTACATCCGCGTCGTCCGACCGACGGTCGTTCGTTCGTCGTTGTATCGCGCGATTCGTGCTCAGTCTACGTCCACGTCGTCATCGTTATCTTCGTCGCCGCCGTCACCGCTGTCGCCGTCGCCACCGCTGCCGCTGCTGTCGCGGGGCCAAGCAAATAATCCGTTGCGAGCGACCGGATCTCTTGGAATGCTCTCGGGTTCTTCCTGACGCTGCGTGGCCGTTTAGTCCAGTAAGTAAACGCCTCTCGCTTCGCGCACTCTCTCTCTCTTTCTCTTTCTCTCTACTTCTCTTTCTCTTCTTTCCATTGTCGTGACGACTGTCCTTCCGAGTATATCTCCCCCTTGTGTTACGCCACACCACGCACTCTCGCGCAACGTCGTCGCTTCCGCAGCCCCTTTTCTTCCTTTCCCCCCTCCGGCCCCCGGGAGTTCTCCGTGTGTGCACAAAGTTCCTCCGGGACACCGGAGGAGGAGAGAATCGCGTGATTGCAGTTAAAAGGAACAGACACCTCGTGCTTTCTTCGCCTCGTCTCGCCTCGCCTCGCCTCTCTCGGCACCGGCCCACCCCACCCCTCCCTCTCCTCTCCGCTCCCCCTTCGTCTACGTGGTCGCGATTGTGCGGCTGAATCTCTATACGATCGTCGACGTCGTCTCGCCTTCGTGACAACGCTCGCTCGCTCCGATGCCGGATGTGTCGCCCGACCCGACGACGTCGGTCGGCGTTCCTCTCCTCCCTCGCGCTCCACCCGCGTAAACAAATTCTGAGGTATGTGCGCGCTTCTGACGTGACGCGATCGCACGCTCGAACGTGCCCCAGCATCGTCGGGAGGTACCTCGTCGCGCCGATCTCTCTCGGGGAAGAAGGGAGGGGGCCAGGGGAGTTACACGTTCCATTCGGTTCACCGCCGCGCTCCCGTTTCTTTTTCCCGTCCGCCGCGTGGGAGATCCCCGGGGGAAGATTTTCGCGTACTCCGGCGCGGCGAGGATAGGGGAAAAGGGAGAGAAGGTGGAGCAGAGGAATCCGCGGTGCGGAAGGAACGCGGCCTCTGGGATTCCGTGGGGCCTCTCTGTTACTCCTCCGGTCGCACTTTCTACGCCTCCTTTCTCCGTCTGCCGTCATCACGGCGAGTGCGCGGTATATACGGTATATATACGCGAGGACGCCTCGTATATACGCGACGAAGAGTGCAGGAGAGTGCAGATAGAGAGCGAAGAACGGGCCGGATCTCCGAACGTCCGCGACGTCGGTGGCGTCTCCCGAGAATTCGCGTTATCATTGGCGTCTCCTGAACACTCGCGTCATCGATGGCGTCCTGAATGTCCGCCACGAAATCTCTTCTCGTCTTTCTCTCTCTCTCTCTCTCTCTCTCTCTCTCTCTCTCTCTCTCTCTCTTACGTGAGCGCGCGCGCGCGCGCTCTTTTCTCTCTCGCCTCTCCGACCTTGGCCACTAACGCGCTATCCGTCCTCGTCGCGGTGGGAGAGTATAGGTTAGTTTAGCCCGAGAGGCATACTCACTTGGATCTCGTTCGCTTTAGACGTACTTCTAAGCTTTGTTTTTCTCTTTATCTCCTCTCGCTTCTTTTGATATGTTTTTATAATACGAAAAGTGTGGAAAAAGCGCGACTGAGACTTTTTTAGGTCTGTCCCTTTTAACTCTACGTTTTCTCTCTATCTCTTCTCTCTCTCTATCTTTCTATTTCTTCATCTCTATCTATCTGTCTATCTCTTTCTCTATCTCTTCATCTTCTTTACAAAACCGCGAGTTCGTCTTCCTTTTGTTTCAAGCACAGAGGGTGTAATGAGTGACAGGCGCGATTGAAAGGAACACACACACCCTCCTCCCTCCCGAGGTAGGAATGTTCTCGTCCTCGTAGGAGAGACGCTCGGCAACTGGATTTTAGGGGTCATCAGAGGTGACTGCTGCATGTCTTCTGGCGCCGATCCGCGTGCTCGTCCTCGTGGATCTCTATGTTTCGGAGAAATACACGAAAGGGTTGGTCCCAGCTTGACGTACAATATTGTTTCGATTACTCGTTTCGTGTCAGCGGCATGTAATTTTTTTTTTCTTTCACTCTCATACACACATACGTACGTACACATACACTCTCTCTCTCGCTCTCTCTCTCTCTTTCTCTCTCTCTCTCTCTCTCTCTCTCTCTCCGATAAATTGTGAGCGACGTGTGTTAGGATACTATTACATTTGTCGTACGACAAATTTTCCAAACTTGTCGATTGGCTAAAGAAGTTCTGTGGATACTCGAGAACTTCTCTATCTTGCAGCAGCAGAGAGAGAGAGAGAGAGAAAGAGAGCAACGCGATTGAAAATTTTTATCGACAATTTATACGACAAATGTAATACCAGCTTAAATTGCGAGAAACAAAGGACTCGTTCCTGCGTGTCGGGAATATTCGTGATATCGACGTGTTGGACGCGGTCGTCCGTTTCGCGCGAAACGTTTTACAGCCGGCTTTCGTTTCGGGAACTGAAAGAGGGACGATACCTGATACCATTCTGTCGGCAGGAAGGGATTCTTGTGGCGACTCTTGTACCTCATAGACGAAAAAAAAAATATTCCTTGTGCTTCCGCTTCTGCGTGATTTGGCTATCATTACAGTTTTGTTGCGATGCGACACACGAGGCGTAACGCACTGTTGACGTAAGGGGTCGAACTTTTGCATATCGAAAGCTTTTGGGTTTTTTTTTGTTTCTCCCCTTTGTTGCCTATCATTTAGTAGTAACTTCTTCCTGAGTCAATCACTCTCTTTTCGACCGCTCTCTCTTTTCCGCAATGGGCAACCGTTATTTCAGATCGTTGTTATGAGCATTTGAAACGATGCCTCGAGATTGCCTTTGAATTCCTGTGGGACTCTGTATAGCGCATTGTCACGTTCGTACAGTGCACCATCGGATTTGATTTACGCTTTGTCGGAGATAGTTCTTCCTTAATGGATACGTACAATGTGTTTTGATATTGCATGCCTAGCGACGAGCAATCTGCCGATCTCTCGTCTCCTCTTTATTATTTTTATTTTTTTTCGCATGTAGCCTCTCGACGGATTATCATTTTGTCCCGATGCATAAGGTACAGTCTTTGACCAGAGGAGAACTTAGTAAATGTGGCACTTTTTGTGTATGTGTGAACCAAATCAATATATAAGGCACAACTATAAATGTTACATTTCGTATGTCATGCCAATCCTCTGAGTGTAGTAAAACATTGAAGACCCTACCTTATGTAGAGAGAGAGAGCCACAACGAATGTTATGCTCCTCAATGTGCCTCAATTTAAATGTGTACATAAGTCGTCGAGGATATACGAACGGTATAAGAATTGTTATATTTAGTCATTTGACAACTCTGCTGAAAAAAAAACCTCGTAGCATATGTGTATACATATACATACCGTTGTCAGGGTACTACCGGGAAAAATCGGGAAAACCTGGAATTTCATTTTTGCCCTTGAAAATCATTCTCATGTAATTTTACTGTACTCAGGAAAATTTTTTGAATTTTTAAAATTTAATTTTAATCCCTTTAAAAAGTAAACGTGGCCCCATATCGAAGGCCCCTGATATTGAAAGTTAATTTATTTTAAAATTGACATATACTATATGAAGACTATCTTTAATCTAAAAAATGATAATCCGGAAATAATAAATTAGGCATTAAGAGTCTAATAACGCAGAACTTGGTGAGTGAAACAATTTATCTTTACATATGTAGTTACATCTCCATACAAAATCTTTCGTTACGTTCGAAAAATTTTGTATGGAGATATAACTATTGTACATACGAGAAGATTAAATTGTTTCACGCATCAAGTTCTATACGTTATTAGAACTCTTAGTGCCTAATTTATTTTAAAGCTGTATCGAGAAATTCTCTAATCTCACCTGGAATTTTGAATAAAATTCCTGCAAAATCCGGGAATTTTCAGGGAATTCTTTCACAAAATTTGAGTACCCACTCTGGTTGTGTATAGAATATCTATGTATATACATATATATATTTCTTCTCATTAGAATGGAAAGAGTTAAGAAACAGAATATATCTGAAGTTTCATAATTCTATCATAATATCAATGATATTCAAATGACTCAAAAAGAATTCAATTATATTTATATAACTTTTAACAAAGCAAAACGTATATATATGTATATATACATATATATATGAGACAATATATATATGCATTTATTGATGTGTTGTGTGGTATATATGCATTCATCTCGCAGCTTCCTCTACCTACATCTAACATATATAAAATGTCCACTTAAAACAGAGACGCTGAAAGAAAGACTAAAAACATGGGATGCAACGTGGGCCGATGCCTCGGTCCACGCAATACGAGGTACCCTGGATCAGGTACGACCCAGTCAATATCCTTTAAGACTTCAGTCCTCGTAGGTCCCGCTTTTTTTTTTCATAGCGCGTTTGAGTAGATCACATCAGGATTTAGAACAGACTTTTTTTCTCTCTCTGTCACTTGCTTCATAATACTGTAATTATATGTAAAAAGTAGCAAAGAGCAGCCAGAAGGCATTTGTATTTTTCATTCCCGCATAGGGAAACGTCGTCTACGTGATTGGCTCGAAGTAAAGAGACTGCGAATAAATATATATATATATATATGCGAGAAAGAAAGAAAAAAAGAGAGCAAAGAACAGAACTGTATAGCCTACGAGGTTTGAGACATTATTTTATTACGCTCCGAGAAGGAGAGATGTACATAACGCGAAAGTTACACAGTCTCACGAAGGTTTCACCCCCTAACTCTCTTCTTCCTAATTCTATCCTGAAGAATGCTTCTTAGCCTCATCCATCTCACCTCTCTCTTTCGTACTTGTATACACGCTTTCGACTAAAAATATTTGCTCTGCTCCACACTCCAATTGTAATGAATAACTCTGACGCTGTGCGAGGGAAGCAAGTTTCAGTATACCGAATGTCGTTTCTAACTAACTCCAATTCTTTTCAGCTATCTCTCTCGCGCGTTACCGACGTCACACACATTTTATGTTTTTCCATAATGTGATCCATTGTATGCCGCAAATCTATCACACCGCATGCTTTTAGTTCAAACGATCTGGTAGTAGTGTTCCCCGTACAATGTCGCAGTTAGTCGATCGAAATTCTTTTTATCGATATCAATTTCGGTATCGCCTCCTAGGTTGTAAGGTATATATTCCAAATTGTATATGCTGACACGTAAAGTACACACGTCCCAAAAGATTAGAATTTGCAGAGTAATGGTCGTCTTTTTTTTTGCACCTATATACAATAAGCATAAGGCTACTCGTTTTACAAGATAATGTTAGTACGAAAGATTATTCTGCCCGATTACTTCATACGTACAGGATGGAGACAGTTTGAAAATCCATTATATAGTATGTGTACTTTGTGCAAATGAGTCACGATTAGCGGGAAACACGATAAAAGCACAGCTAGCGGACGTTATCGCATTGAAAACGCTGTATCGCGAGAGACGATTGCGAAATTAATTGTAAAAAAAAAAAAAAATTTGATCTGTAATGTAGGTAAGTTATTCCTGGTGGAGGATCGCCCACTTTTTGGCAATTATGAAAACACAAAGTGCCGCCCGGGATCTCACCTTGAGAGAGACCGTATTATCTCCCTCTTACTTTATGCAGATAAAAACCACATTGATAAATCGATAACACACAATGGAATTAGTTGTTCGAGAGATAAAAGTAAATCTATATACATTTTCGTCAGGATCTTTTTTCAGACGTGAATATGTATATTCCGTATGCGAGATACAGTAAAAGGGATTTTAAGCATATTATGATTTCGTTATCGATTTGATTGCAATTGTGAAAGTTATCACTAACTTGTAACAAAATGTACCACACGTTCCGCTTCTTCGTATTAATCAATCAATATTCACATACATTTCTAAAGCGATAAATGTTTCTAAATAAGCAAACCAGTGTCAAACTGTACATCAGCGCGCTGATTTGCCTGTTTGACTACCATTATACATACCACGTATACTCTTTTGCATTTTAGGATTCATGGCAGCCATTAGGAAGAAGTTGGTTATTGTGGGCGACGGTGCTTGTGGTAAAACATGTCTACTCATAGTGTTCAGCAAAGACCAGTTTCCCGAGGTGTACGTACCTACAGTATTTGAGAACTATGTCGCCGACATCGAGGTGGACGGCAAACAGGTGCGTTTCGTCTTAAAATACTTTTTCTTTACTACCTTCCGTCAATGAGATCTCGCAAAATTTCTTTCTCAACGAACTCTCTCGCTTATTCGAAACAGGTGGAACTGGCTCTTTGGGACACAGCTGGACAAGAAGACTATGATAGGTTGCGTCCGTTGTCGTATCCGGACACGGACGTTATCCTGATGTGCTTCTCCATCGATAGTCCCGATTCCTTGGAGAACATTCCCGAGAAGTGGACACCAGAGGTGAAGCACTTCTGCCCGAACGTGCCCATTATCCTTGTGGGAAACAAAAAAGACTTGCGCAATGATCCTACCACCATCAAGGAGCTCAGCAAGATGAAACAGGAGCCGGTCAAGCCCGAGGAGGGTAGGGCCATGGCCGAGAAAATCAACGCTTTCGCCTACCTTGAGTGTTCCGCCAAGAGCAAGGAAGGTGTGAGGGAAGTTTTCGAAACGGCAACCCGAGCTGCACTACAAGTACGTCCCAATTACCTTTTTTAATAGTAATTCCTAATAAATTGTAAAATTAAATTTGGAGTCAGTATGGAAAGAAGCATTCAAATTTTAAGAAATATTCAGTAATATATATATGTTTTTTTAACAACGCAATATTAGGCGCTTAATATTTATTGTTATCATTGTTAATACATGCACTAACGTAAATATTACAATCTAAATTTTAGGTAAAGAAGAAGAAGAGGGGAAGATGTAGGCTTCTTTAAGATGTTATGACAAGTGAGCCCATAACACGGGCAAAATTATGATGGAATTGCGGAACTAGCTGCAAAGAAGCTAGTCATAAATGCCGCAGATCCCCCGCGTGTATCGTGTAATAATAGTATAATAATCGTGTACCGTAAAATGTAGATAGTTGGTATGACAATCTTATTTTTTATCATTTAAACTCGAATTACAATTCGTTACTGTTAAAATGACGGAAACCATGATATAACATCTTTTAATTATTTTACATAATAAAACAAGTTTACAGGGGCAAAAAATAATAAAAAGAGGATGCAACCACGTCTACAAATACATATATAATACTATAAACTGTCGTCATTGAAGCAAGCACTCGAGGAATACTAAAAATCAAGAAAAAATACACACTCAGTATAGTCATTACATTACAATTTTCCGTGTAATTATAATATATATTGTAATGACTATATTGATTGTGTATTTTTTCCTAGCTTTTAGTATTCCTCGAGTCCTTCTTGTTTCATTGACGACAGTTTATAACATTAATATGTATTTTTGCAGATGCGGTTGCACTTTCTTTTTTTTCCACTAATCTGTGTTGTAGATTGTTTTATTATGTAAAGTAAAAATAGATGTTATATCGTGAGTTTCGTCATTTTAACAATAATGAATTGTACTTCGAATTTAAATATTTAAAAAAAAGGCTGTCACACCAATTATTTACATCTTACGATACACGATTATCTTTATCATTGTAGTAATTAATTATTACTATTATTATTATTATTATCTCATTATTAATATAATTATTAATATTATAATTATTGTATGCATTCTATCTTTGTTTTTTTTAATCGTAGTGTCTTTATTTTGGTAATAAACAAAATGACAGCAAAATTTTTGAGCGAGTTGGGAGAGAATACCAATAAGAAACATTGAATATGCAAAACAAGTGCGAAATGCAGTCAAAGAGTTATGTAAAAAACTCAGGGGAACAGTTCGAGAGAACTTTGAATTTTGCATCTCGCTTTTTTTTCTACTAAAAAAAATCGCATTTCTGCGATTCTTGAACGAAGGAAAAATTAAAACGGACATTTATTACATTATAAACGCGCGCATAGTTAGACCAGCAGATCACTTGGATCTTCAAGATCTTTACTAATTAGATTAAATGTGTGTATTATTATATTTTATTATTATTACTTTATTATAATTATTGTACGATAACACTAACATAATGGAGATTATAACAGCGGCTACAATTATATTTATGTATTTCGGGGAATGCGTTCTTTGTGTCTTGACCAAGTCGTGACTGGACTTGCGGTTTGCGCTTTTTTATACACACATACATACGCCATCGATATCTTTAGCGTATGATGTACTAAACTCGGAGATTATCGGTCGTGCGTATCTCGCGCACGACGACGCCGTGTATCTCCCTTTTTAATTTTACCGTGTGTGCCACAATTGTACAGCCGAGCTGCTTCGCGAAATTCACACCAATGTTCGACCTATTTGTTTCGCAATAAGCTCTTCCCCTCCTCCGTTTCGCTTGTGCTGTCTTTATACCGAGATGAAAATATGATGCTACACTCGTCTTCTTTTGTAGATCCGATTTTAATCTATAAGGTTATTGTAATGAAAAAAAAAATTGTGTCTCTCACACAAAGGTGATGTTGAATTAACGGCCGCGTAACGTGATACCTCCCTCGGCCGTTAATTCAACGGGCTCGACTGCGGAATTGTGTTCATTAAGTTCTTTCCTCGTTTCTCTTAGCGAATAGTAGATCTTGTTATTACACGCAGTACGCTTTTACGGAACTTCTCAAAGCCGCCTGAAGGAAAAAGAAGCTTAGCGACACAACTTAAGATACTTCTACCACGAGCAAACGCGCGCACGACGGATTCGTAGAAAGCAAAGAGAAAAAGAAGGAAGACGGAAAAAGAAAGAGAGAGAGAAAGATAGCGATAGAAAAGGAGATGTATATTAAGCAATTAAGTGTGCCTGAGTTAATGAGTGCTTTGGGAAACACGTGTCGAATACACGCTCCGCTCCTCTGTGCAGGTCGCGCGTCGCGCTGCGAAGCTCGAAAGTGTTCTTTTTGTAATGAGTTTCGTGGGTATATATATATTGTTATATATATAAATATATATAAATATGTATATATATATACCATATATATATACATATATAATATTGTATCAATTACGCATCCGAGATATTGTATATACATACATGATATGAACTTTTTACCGCGGTAAATATACGCGCGTCAATCGAGATTCGAATATCGTTTTTCCAGAGCACACACACACACACACACAATACACACTAATTAACACATCACACCGTACAAACTTCCATCATATAAGCAGAGAGAGAGGCAGAGCAATAAGCAAAAATTAATAAGAACGGGCTCGATTATCTTGGGTTTCTTTATGTCAATATGGAACATTGATCAACACGCGTTAGATATGAATGAGCTGATGTCTAATAATAAAGAAAAAGAAAAAAAGATATGCATGCATCTTCTATGCCGCACAAATATATACACATACACCCACACACACACCCACACACATACATACAGGCACACGGATAAGGTACTTTTTCCGAAAGGGCTCCGTAAACCTCGAGTTATCGATAAACGCGGTCTTATATAATCGCCATAAGCTAATTATCTTTTTCATACGTAGACGAGATATTTTGAGACTCGTGTTTAACTGGTTTGTACGCGATGAAAGACAAAAACCCAAGAAAAATGAGAGAAGTATCGGCAGTTTTTCCCGATGTGTGTGTATGTGTGCGTGTGTGTGTGTGTCTGAATAAATCCGATTTTTATGATCAGGAAAAGAGGAAAAAGGGATCGTCGATCTTGACCTCCGAGAAATCTTTCTACCGGCTCATACAAAACCCTTTTTCTGCAAAACTACTAATTAGCTTTTGTATGTAAGACTGTATGATTAACCTACGAACGCTATGATAACAAATTGTAACTAACAATAAACATTTCTTATGACGATAATATAATCGGCCCTACTGCTGGATGTGTGACACCCCGTTAACGAAAATCTTATCTTTCTTTTTTTTTTAACTGATGACTCGGTCATTCCTACATCATAAATATAAGTGATACTTGTATTTGATTTCAGGGGGAACACAGACCTCTCAACATTTTTTTCTATAAAACAATTTATTTTGGCTCTTTTGTGTAAACAAAAATCGCTGCATTATCTCTTAACTTAGCATAAGTCGAAACACGCGAAATTGGAATGGAGTTTTGCTTCCTGTATAACTTTATAATTCGCCAAATATCCTGGGAAAGCATGGTTGTTTTACGAGCAAAAATTTTAAATCAGTTCTGCGCGCTTCATCGCGTCATTATACAATCGTTACAAAGTGTACAATACATGATCCTATATGCTAGAGACACTCCCCTCCTGCCTCCCCCTCACCCATTCGAGCATATTTCATTTTTCACTTGTTCGTTTCACAGAAAATCCATGACATCTGCACTCTAAGACTGCGTTCTGTTCTGCGTATTCACGCTTTTGGCGCTACAGCGCTCATGGAATAATTTTATCCTTGTTTTAATTAAATGTCAAACAAGGAAAAATTATGCTCACAGCGCGTGAGCGTTAAAACGGAACGCAACCCAAGTGTCATTTACTCCCTGTTTATGCACTGTTCGCGAGCTCTTGAATGTACTTCCGAATTGCTTACGTGTTTTACGTGAGAAAAACTCCCGGATCGTTTCGTCGCATTGACTGCATTCAAAGATGCAGAAACGAACTTTCGTGATACGTTTACGTCTGTTAGTGTCTTACAGCTCGTCAGTTCTAGGCTTGACCGCCTTGCCCTTGCGATCGTAGCCCTTGAGCTCGTCGGTGGAGTGTTTGGCGATGTACTTGACGAAGTCGTCGAGCTCACGGCCGCCCTCGTACTTGACCGGGCTGTCCTTGGCGTCCTTGGGCGCCCAGAAGAGCGTCGGGAAACCGTGCACCTCGTACGGCGCCGGAACGTCGTTCGCCGTGGCGTCGAATTTGACGATCTCGATGTCCTCGTCCGCCAGCTTCTCGCCCAACTCGTCGAACACCGGCGCCAGCTTCTTGCAGTGGCCGCACCAGGGCGCGTAGAACTCGATCAGCGTGTCCTTGCCGTTGTCGTTGACCACCTCGTCGAAGTTCTTGGCGACCGCGACCTTCACGTTACCCGCATTGCTGTCCGGGATCGGCTCGGATTTGAGGTACGGCTCCAGCGCACCGGCCTGCAGATCCTTCAAGAATGTCTCGAACGTGTCCATGGAGAACTCTTCCTTGAGAACGTACTTCTTATTCTGGGCATCTCTCGCCAGGACGACTGGCTTGTCGCCCTTCGCGTAATCGATGCCGAAATCGTTCAGCTCGTGTTGGAAGTCGTCCTTAGAAGCTACGGCGAATAAGTACGCGGGGAAGTCCTTGGCGACCTTGATGATCCTGTTGCGCCAGTAGTTCGTACCCTTGGGGTTCTTCGCGTAATCAACACTGTAGTAGGCAACCACCAGAGGGTTTTTGAATTCCTGCGCGTTGTCGCGAGTGCGTATACCGGCGATACCGTGGCTGCAAACGAAATCGGCGTTACAAGATGGTTCGAAAATTATCGAAAGTTTTTTTTTTTATAAGATGACAATGCTTACTAGTTCTTGGTGATAAATTCATTCACGTCGCTAATGGAGTCGCTGCCTTTGTACACGACGCTGTTATCTTCGAATTTGTTCTGGAGCAGCTTTGGTCGGTAAAGAACAATCGTGTTCCTGAAATAAGCAGTTAATTAATACACTTTATTTCTGAAACAATTACTTTCTTTGCTGTAAACGGGTGCAAAAAAACGATAATTTTTGCAACACATACTTGTGAGATAATTTATCCAAAAGTTCCTTTTGCGATGTGTGACCGAATCTGACCTTCTCTCTGAGCTTCTTGGAAACGGTGTGATATGCCGCGGACAACGGAGAATCATCCTTCTCGAAGTAACCTATCACGGTGACTTCGTCGGTTTCTAGGAACGTCTTGTGGGCATCCTCGCTAGTTAGCTCCTTAGATGCCGGTCCCACTTGGGACTGAAACGATAGTCACATTTATAGGAAAACTGTACAATTGGATCCCACGAACGTGATACGAGATACACGCGACGTTACCTTCATGTACTTAACAATGCCGGATGCTTCTCTAGGACCGTTGTAATCGGACCTGAACTCGTTGCGCTCAAAGATCTTGAGCGTCGGGTAACCGTTGACGGAGAATTTGTTGCAAGTTTCCTTTCCACCCTCTGTACAGTCGACCTTGGCGAGCGTGATCGATGGCTCGCTGTCTATGAGCAATTCGGCTGCTTTTGCGTATTCTGGTTTCAAGCGTTTACAATGCCCGCACCTGGCGACAGATAACAATTTGTTAACTACCTCTTAAAAATTATGCAACACTGATTAATAGCACATAGTAATAACTAATAATAAATTAGTAATAAACTCCATTTTTAAATGAATACACAATTAGTTGCTGCTTATTTTATATAATGCTATAAAATAATATTTTATATAATGCTATAATCTCTAAAAAAGAAATTAGAATTGCCTTTTTTGTCTTCTATATCTTTATGTTCAAAATAAGTTCTAATTTTGATAAGACAAATAAGATGTTTTTAAGTGTTTATATACTTTTGAATAAAAAGTAAATTTTGCACAGTTGTGCAAAAATTCGAAAAAAAAAATAAAAAGACAAATTGTGACACAGCTATAAAAAACAACCGGCTTAAATCTCTTTATCGTGAGATATCGCAAAGGTAATTGTTGACGACATTCGCCGACTTTTGAAATGGAGAGGAGAAATCGGGATACGTCATCGACGTCATCAAACGCTCGAATAATGCCGTATGCCGGCGTTTGGTTAGACGCAAAAAAAAAGACCTCTTTTGATCTTCCTAGCAGATGGAAGTTATGAATCTTACTCAACAAGACTCCGTATTACAAATATAACACAGATTAATTACACTACAGAAGATAAAAAGCTTCTCAAGCGGCGTGGTTTCGGTCCCCGGTGGCTAACGAGACGCGAGTGCTCCGTCTCTCCCTAATCCGAGCTTTTCGCAATTTTTCTCATTCCCTACTCATTCCTCGCGGATATCTCGTCTTTATATCGCGAATGTGGCGTGGTTTCAAGCAGTTTGTAAATGCGAGAGGCAAGAGCGTGTGATGAAATGCGGCTAGAAGAGACAGACTCGGGACGAGGACGTCCTCTCTCACCATGGTGCGTAAAACATGACGAGCGTGTTCTCGTGACGCTCGAGCTCGCTGTCGAAGGTCGAGTCGGTGAGGTCCAGGACATCCTTCTCGTCGGCGAGGGCGCCGAGCAGCAGCAGCGGCAAAAGAATCAGGCACTTTCGCAACATCTTCACGGCAGTGGGTACTGGGTCGTGCGATCACTGGCAAACAACGTCTGCCTGTATCCGGCCGTCTGTCGGTCCGTCGCCGTAGACGTGGCTCTTCCACGAACACGAAGTGCCTGCCGTGGCCAGCGACTCCAGCGAGTAGCGATATGCAACGCGTCCGCCGCGAGGTGCTGTCGCACGCCGATTGGCTGGCGCGCCGCTCGCGCGCCGATTGGCCTGCCGCCTGTCCGCGTATGTCGTATACTCGGTGTCCGGAAAAAATCCGTGCTGCCACCGGTAACGCGATTTAATTCGTTTGTTACCACGCGCGAGAATTTGACGAATTTGACAGATCGAGCTGTAATCTTTATTTGTGCTTTCACTCAATCGAGATCTGATTTTGAACCTCAGAAAGATCGATGCGAAGAATCAAGGAAGCACTTGACTCTTATGAGGACTTGACTCTACATGAAAGACAGCCTCTTCAGTTAGATTGATGATATATTTAATAATGAGGACTGAAGAGAGTTTAAGTAAATTTAAAGAGAGGATTTATATTTCGAGAAAATCTAAGACAATAAAATCATTTGAAGAGAATTTTGTTGTTCAGTACACATATACGTATTATATTTTCGTTACATCCGATATATCCGATAGCACGAAATGCGACTTTAAGGCGATCGGAATATAATCAATTTCTTTCGTGTAGTGGGATAAGAGATATAGAGACAACTTGATATTCATCAATGAGAAAAATATTCGACTTTACATTCATTAATATAAATAATTTTAAATATAAGATTCTTAATACTGCAGCGTTATACATAATTTAATTAAGAGTATTATAACTTTCAAATCTTTTTTTTTTCTAGATAATGAATCTTGATTATCGCGCACAATTGTTAAATAAAGATTGCCAACTATATTAGCTCAATTATCACGAAGTTTGTCTTATGATGATACATATAATAATGATTTCATGCTTACAATATGTCAGAATTCTTCTCACACTTTAAAAAAATTAAAAAAAAAATGCCAATGCTTCCCCAGCTTTCGTTCTTTTCAGATGGTTTCCCGAGAAGTTTTACGATAAATTATCATGACGATATCAAAATCGCTAAAAAATAAAAAATGGAATAAAAAATAATCGGTTTTAGACGATAAATAATTATAATTAATGTTCAAACTGATTATTTATCGTTTAAACACTCGCATCAGCTAACGCTATAAATATTCCTAAAATATATTCATGAAATGTTCTTGATATTCCATGAATATTTAACTATTTAGCGTTAACCGCGGAGGCATGCTCTTATTAATTATAATAATGCCGTGGCGATGCACCACAAAGAGAAAACTCGTCTATTTTTTTTTACTCTAGGAAACTTTTAATAATCAAAAGTCCCTCCGTTCATATACAAGTCTGATATAAGACTATCGATACAACGAAGACAGGTTTCGTCCATTTACACGTTGCGTGTGTGTGTGTGTGTTTCATATATATATAATTTATATATATATATATTTATTTATATTTATATATATATAATTATATTTATATATGTATACCGATTATTTACAAAAATCGTTACATGTATATAAACGACGACATTTATAAACGCGTAATTTAGGAAAGGTGGAAACGCATTCATGAGGGAAAGAGCAAGGGTTGGGCGGGTAGGGGCGGGGACGGGGAGGGGGGGGCCTATCACGTTGGCGATAAGTTTTCCGAAATCCAGGGAATCGGCTAAATTTTTCAGCGTCGTCGGCGAGACGTTTCGGACGCGAGTTTCGGCTTCGATACTTTGCGAGCAGCGCTTTGCGAACGGCACTCCTTCTCCATCGCTTCGCGCAGCTACGCACTGTTTATTATTTATTTATAGGTTTATTATTTATTATTTATTTTCGAATCACGAGAAGACGGAGATCTGTCCTTTTCGACTGCGAGAAATAAATACATATATACGTTAATACTAATGAGACAAAAGGGAGGGAATAGAGGGGAGAGGGATGAAAGAAAGAGAAGACGCAGACAAAAAGAACAGATCCGAAGTGCCAAGATTTTCAGTGCGCGAAACTGAAGGAGTTTAGAAGAGATTTCAGCGAAGTAAGAAATTAGCAGTCCTATCTTGGTCAAATATTTCGTTAGCCACCTTCGATACAAACGGCTATTAAATATTATTATTATTATTATTATTATTATTTAATTATCAGCTATCCTCAATCCAATATTTATCAAAGATTCTTATAAAACCGTAGACCCGAATCTCGTTTCTCCTACTGATTAGAAAAGGGATTGACTTATTTTACTTATCAACTTTTCTCATCGAGTTTCATTATTAGTTCGCGGTTAACAAGCTAACGCTATCGTTATCAAATCTCAAATATTAATTTTCAGTTCACACACTTCAAAGCACTCACACACTGTTCGGTTCGGCTCACATTCCCATGAAGAAACGTAGGTCTCGCGGGAGATAGAGTGAGACGAGGCCGGAAAAGGGAGTTCTCCACATAAAATTCTCGATAAAAAAATAATCCAAATGATATATTATTTCGTAAAAGAAATACAAAAATATAAGTCTATAAATACGTTTGCGTTTTATTATGCTGATATACGTTAAAAGTATATAAAAAATATCGCAAAAGTGCGGCTAAAATTATAGCGTGCTGAAAGAAATCGGCACACGATACACATATAGCTCTCCGAGATCCGCGAGCGCGAATCTGAACGAAGCAAAAAAAAAAGCCGAGATTTCACATTCTTATTTTATCAGTCGAAACGAAAGTTCGGTCGCTATTATGCAATGAATTAACGAATTATTCCAGCACACTCGAGAGACGTTTCTCGCGCGTTTCCTACATTTCTTCATTCTATCCGCCCGGGGGTGCTCGCACAGTATTTCGAGACTACGGGCAACAAACGAGACTTTCGAGGACGGGCGAAACTCACGAAAAAAAAACGACGACGAGCGACAAAGGTAGAGAGAAGAGCGAAGAAGAAAAGAAAGAAAAAGAAAGGAGAGAAGCAGCGCGAAGAAACGAAAAGGAAAGCGGGAGGGAGGCTTACAACACGCATCATCCCGATGCAACTGTACAACTATAATACATTCGTACACATCAAGCCGATATTATAAATAAAGGAAAAAAAGAACAAGGGGTCCATTTTCGCCTACGTCTTTATCACAGGCTACGATAATTTAAGGATCTGTTATATTCGACGGGGGAGGACGGCCGCCGTCGGGGCCGTCCTCGGACAGCGAGAAAGGACAAGCGGAAATCTTAACGGACGTATCGTAGAAAAGTGATTTTTCTCCTCCTCCTTAGGCTCCGCGAGAGAGAGAAGACGCACGATGGATACGTATCCAGGGATGATGATAACGACGACGACGACGACAACACGACGATGACGATGTTAATGTTGCTGACGATGTTGATACTGATGATGATGATGTTGATATTGTTGCTGATGATGACGGATGACGTGTTGTGCGAAGGACATGGAACTTGGTAATCTCGCAATTACTACACGACGTGCCCGTCGTCGAGTACATACTTCTTCGGCTATTTAATCGCTACATTCGTTTCTTTGCTATTGCTTAACCGTTTACGTCGTGGATGCAAAAATGCGACGAGGCGAGACCACAAACGGGAGATTCGACGCAACAGTGGCTCAACTCACAATTTATTAAAATTACTTAATGGTTTGACGAGATTTAGAAGAGAGTGCATTCGCCTTTAAAACAGAAGTAGGGGAGAATTTGACTTTGAATTGATGAGAGCACACAAATAAATTTAATTCTCCTCCCTCAATCTTAAAATTCTTTTCAAAAATGAGTTTAAGTTACTGTCGCAGTCTTCAATCGTCGCAATATAATCATATAATTGGCGCTAAATTTCTAAACAAATGATAGTTATGTAAGAAATGATCGTGAGCTGTTGGGAGAAATATTACACGAAACACGCATGGTAGATTTGTTAATGATTGCACCAACAGCGAATTGACAAAAATACTAGATAAAAAATTGCGGTATTACAATAAAAATTACAGTATTTTCTCGTAGGTTATTATCTTGATACAGAGAGAATTCTAATAACGCGGACAAGCGAAGACAATCTATCGATGCTGAGACAGAGACATACGCAATTTTTAAGGGATTAGATCAAGGCATCCTACAAGATCTGTCCAACTTTGCGTGATGTTTTTTAACGAGTTCAATGGAAATCCAATTAGAATTTAAAAAAGTTAAATTAATAAAAAAAAATCGATCTTTAAAAAAAGAGCATATATAATATTATACTTTAAAGATTATTTTGCTGCAAAACTCATATCAAAATTCAGAAAATGAACGAAGTTTTATTACAAGCATGCTGAAGGACACGGGCACACCGTGCGGCAATGTAACCGACCCAGACTTTGTGCTCTTGGGTAAATATCTTGATACATTTCTTACGAAAATATTCAGGCAAGCTGGAAGAATGTAAAAAAGAATATTTTTAATACAATTCATTAATTTTCTTGTACTAAATAAATAAAAGACACAATTTATTACTTGTACCAAGTATAAAAATATGGAAATATATTTCTATTGAAAAATATTCTTTTTCGTATTCTTATAACTTGTCCTAAAGTTTTCTGAGTAATGTAAAACAAAACGGTTACGCCGCAGGGTGCTCGAAAAATTTGAATATTCATAGTTCTATCGTTTTTCTTTAACTCATCATAGTTTTCTAAAAAAAATTGTAGGAAATATCTTTAGTTTTCAAACAGTTGCACTGGTCTAATCCTTTAAACAACGAAATAATTGGTGCAATAACGGTCTTATAATTTATGAAGAAATAAGTGCTCCAACTCAGTTATCCATTTCGACACACGTAAAATAGACAACATGTTAAGTATAGACAAAGATAACAAGAGTATCGAAATATCTCCCAAGCGAGCGTTCCCAACTTGCTCTTCCGCGACACGCGCCACTTCGCTCATCATCGTCGTCGACGCGAGTCGGTCGCGTCGTTGACGTATCCCTATTTCGGCGCGACGTCTTTCGGCGTTCGAGATCCCACACGTGAAGCATCGACGTCTTTTCCTACCTATACTTTAAGAAACATTATACAATTACGTACGTACGAATGTATAAAATC